TCTGAAGCTCTTTTTCCATCTTCCAGATACTACTGTCAATCTTTTTTCAGTTTGTTCTTCACATTGGATATTTCTCTTGGTCCATCTTCAAGGTTACTGTTTTTTCTGCCCTTTGAATCTAACTCCTTTAGTAAATTTTCATTTCATTTATTATACTTTCTTTTGTGTGTGTGTGTGTGTGTGTGTGTGTGTGTGTGTGTGTAGTACTGGGATTTGAACTCAGGGCCTACACCTTGAGCCACTCCACCAGTCCTACTTTTGTGAAGGGCTTTTTCAAGATAGAGTATTTTGAACTGTTTACCCAGGCTGCTTTGAACCACTCGATCCTCCTGATCTCTTCTTCCTGAGTGGCTAAGATTACAGGTGTGAACCACTGGTACCCGGCTCATTTATTATACTTTCAACTTCAGAATTTCCATGTTCCAGGTTGGGTTATGTTATTTTCGTAACATATATGATATAGAATATTATACATATTGTAAGTGGGAAACCTTTTAGATTCACATCCCCCGCGCCCTTGCATTTGCTTTGTTCAGGCCTTTTTCATTGAATAAAAAGTTTAGCTTCTCAAGAACATCAACATAAATTCACAAAATAAATAACAGAAGTACCAAGGCTAAGTGGCCTCAATGAGACCAGCTGTCTGGTTCATTCTTTTTATTTATTTTTATTTTATTTATTTATTTATTTTTGCAGCACTGAAGCTTGAACTCACAGCCTCATGCGTGCTAGGCAGTCACTCTACCTCTTGAGCCATTCCACCAGCCCTTTTTTGTGTTGCATATTTTCAAGAAAGGGTCTTGTAAACTATTTGCCTGGACTGGCCTCAAACCAGAGATCTTCCTGATCTCTGCTTTCCTGAGTAGCTAGGATTATAGGCATGAGCCACCAGCACCTGGCCTGACTCATTCTTATAGGCCCTCCTACCCATCAAACTACACTGCCTAATCAGACTCACCCATGGGTATATTAAATCCAACCTCCCTTTCCTAGAATCTTTAGTTATTTGCTGCTTTCTAAGTATAACTGTACCTACAAACCCACTGCCCCCTACCTAGCCGTAATAAGCAGAGTATTGACTAGGTTCATCTCTCTCTAAGAGCCAACCTAGTCATTGATGAATTTCAAAAGAGCTGAGTTAAGACTCTAAGGCCACAAACATGGTACCAGGGGCTCATGCCTAAGACCCTAGCTATTTGGGAGGCTAAAATAAGGGAGGATCACTGTTTGAGGCCAGCCCAACCCAGGCAAAAAAGTTTACCAGACCCCATCTTAACGGAAAAATGTTGGGCATGGTGGTACATGCCTGTCATCCCAGCAACTTAAAAATAGGAAGACCGTGGCCCAGACTAGCCTAGGCAAAAAGCAAGACCTTATTTCCAAAATAACCAGAGCAAAAAGTACTGGAGATGTGACTCAAGCAGTAGAACACCTGTCTTGCAAGTGCAAAGCCCTGAGTTTAAGCCCCATTACTCCCCCCAACAACAACAACAAAAAAGCCTAAGGCCACAACTGGACCCAAGGAATAGCAAGTAAGTCATTATGGATTAGTAATGTTTAGTTGGAATATAGGAGGTGGTTTAGTCATTCTGTGACCAGTCATCTTGGCCCTAAGTCAACCTAAGGCACCATAAATTACCCAAAGACAAATGTAATCTGGATTGGGGTATTGTGATCATTTCCTTTCCCAGATGCTACTTCCCCTAAATTTATTAAGTTTTATGAATTATCTTTCTTTCAGGTGGGCATGCTGGGGATTGAGCCCAGGGCTAAGTATGTACTCTTCCACTGAGCTATACTCCCAGCCCCCAGGTTATGAATTATCTTGCTGTCTTATGCTACTTCTCTCAGTCCCTACTTAATTGAACCTGTGAAAATCAACCTTGTACTTCATATACCAGATAGCCTTTACCCCATCCACCTCATAATCAGCTACAGACTGAATATACATTAAATCCTGTCAATCATATAACTTACAATATCTGGAAGGCAGAAGTGTAGTAAGGACCTTATTCCTGTGCCTCTTAGCTATTGTTGCTGTCAAGAAAGGTCATGGAGCTGTGAGATCTTTATCACTATTCTAACATCCATTCTTCAGCGTCTTAGGTTGGGAGGCAGGTTCAGTTGACAGTGAAGGGTTCCTGCTTCCTGCAAAGCTGAGAAAGATGCCTCAGAAACTCTGATTAGCCTATTGGAACATTTAGTCATTGTTTCTTACCCAACCTGGTACTATTCCTTCAGTCTTTCCAGTGATTTTCTAAGCACTTAATTTCCCATATTAAATCTTTTCCACCTATTAGATACAAAGTATGTGCAGGTGTCAAGGTACCAGGGATATACAGTGAGGCCACTTTCTCAAAATTCTGATATTCATGTTTTTGGTGTTTTGTTGTGCTTTTCAGTACTGGGGCTTGAACTCAGGGCCTTCACCTTGAGCCACTCCACCAACCCTATTTTTGTGAAGGATTTTTTGAGATAGGGTCTCATGAACTATTTGCCCAGATTGGCTTTGAACCAGAATCCTCCTGATCTCTGCCTCCTGAGTAGTTAGGATTATAGGCGTGAGCCACCAGTGCCCAGCTGGGACTAGGATTTGAACTCAGGGCCTCATGATTGCTAGGCAGTTGCTCTACCACTTGAGTCATTCTACCAGCCCTATTTGCCGAGGCTGGTTTCTAACCACAATACTGATCTCCCAAGTAGCTAGGATTACAGGCATAAGCCACTGGTGTCTCATGGGACTGGGGTTTGAACTCAGGGCTTTGCACTTGTAAAGCAGGCACTATAGCATTTGAGCCATACTTCCAGTCTTCCTGAAGTTGTTTTTCCCTCTGTGGGGTTTAACTTCCTTCCTTCATAAACCTCTCAGGTTTTTGTTTGTTTTTGCAGTACTGGGGCTTGAATTCAGGACCTCATGCTTGCTAGGCAGGCACTACTCCCTTGAGCCACTCCACCAGTCCTTTTTTGTGTTGGGTATTTTCAAGATAGAGTCTCTCAACTGTTTGCTCTGGCTGGCTTCAAACCAAGATCCTCCTGATCTCTGCCTCCTTAGTAGCTAGGATTACAGGCATGAGCCACCAGTGCCCAGCTGAAGAGCTTCTTACATCCTTCAAGAAGCCCTGGAAACAAACAAACAAACAAAAAGAAGCCCTGGAGCTGGCAAGCAGTAGAGTGCCTCCTTGTAAGCATGAACCCCTGAGTTCAAACCCCAGTCCCACCAAAAAACAAAGAAGCTGTAAAGCTGAGGTTGAGCTCAGTAGTAAAGCAAGTGCTTTTCTAGCTTGCACAATGCCTTCAGTTTAATCTCTAGCACCACAAAAATGAATGAATGAATGAGTAAGTAAATTAACTAATAAATAAGTAAATGTAGCTCTGGCCCAGCTCTAATCACTGGACCATTTCCCTTGGTTTCTGTGAGTACAGGTGAGACAAGCAAGGTCTTTCACAGAAATCCACTAACATTGTAGGAGGAAAATGGGGTAATGAATGAGATCCTAATAGTAGAAACACAGCCAGACAGCAGTCCTTCTGTGCAAAAAAAAGGCTGGCATAATTAAGTTTTCAGTCTTGTGGAATAGAAAGAAGTATCTTAGAAGTCCTCCACCAAGAACCTCCCTCCAAGCCATCTTGACCACTTTTTGGACTAGGGCTTGTTCTCCCTCCCAGTTTTCTGGTGCCATGCTGGAGCTCATGTCTTGGGTGAGATTACTCCTGCTTTAAAGAGGGAAGGATCTGTTCTCCAGGCCCAACAATTAAAAATACACAGGCTAATATGCTAATATACTGTGTTTCCTACAATGTGGAACCTTTTTTTGTTTGTTTGTTTGTTTGAACTTTGCATCATATGCTTGCTAGGCAGGTACTCTATCTCTTGAGCCACAACCTCAGCCTTCACAATATAGAACTTGTGTGATATGTCAGGTGATTTTAGGTGCTTTAAAGTCAGATCACAATAGTGAGAATTATTATTCCCTTTCCAGTCTTTCAGTTTTAATTTGGAAAAACTGTATCATTTGGATACTGCCTGTCTTAAAACCTCTCTTCATAGTTGTCTTAGGGGGCACACCAAGCCCTTAGCACCAGTATCTAGGTGGAATTGTTTTTTGTTTTTCTGTTTTTGGTGGTACAGGGGTTTGAACTCGGGACTTCATGCTTGCTAGGCTCTACCACTTGAGCCCAGCCTCCATCCCTTTTTGCTCTGGTTATTTTGAAGGTAAGGTCTCACTTTTTGTCCAGGCTGGCCTGTACTGTGATCCTTCTATTTTACACTTCCCTCTCGTTGGGAAGACAGACACATACCACCATGCCCAGCTTTTTTCTGTTGAGATGTGATCTCAAGAACTTTTTGCCTGGGCTGGTCTTGAACCATGACCCTCCTGATCTCAGTCTCCCAAGTAGCTAGGATTGCAAGCATGAGTTACCAGTTGCATGATCTATTCTTTTTTTTTTTTTTTTTTTTTTTTGATGCTGGAGATCAGACATGCTGGGCTCTAAGTTCTCTACCACGAAGCCACACCCCATGGTAGCCTATTTCATTTGTATTGGTTTTTTTTCTTTATTTGTTTGATTGTGGGTTTTTGTTGAGTTTTTGTTTTGTTTTGTTTTTGGTGGGTCTTGTGTTGGAACGCAAGGCTTCACTGTTGGAAAGCAGGCACACTACCAATTGAGCCACACCTCTAATCCATTTTGCACTGGTTATTTTGGAGATGGGGTCTTGCAAACTATATTTATGTCCCAGCTACTGAGGCAGGAGACTCACTTGAGCCCAGGAGTTGGAGGCTAGCCTAGGCAACAAAACAAGATCCCTTTACAAAAAAAAAGAAAAAAGTAAAGAAAATTGGCATACATGAAATAAGTAATAATACAGGTGGTGTGAGAATATAGCATAAGTGTTGATAGCAGTGGCAGGGAGGTCTGTATATGTACTGATGTGGCACTGTCCAAAGATAGTGCTGTTGAGGTAGTTTGTCAACTCTGATTTTTTCTTTTTCCCTCTGTAGTGGAACACATGATCCAGAAGAACCAGTGTCTCTTCACCAACACCCAGTGTAAAGTTTGCTGCGCCTTGTTGATTTCTGAGTCCCAGAAGCTGGCACATTATCAGGTATGCCATCATACCTTTAACACTGCTTTGCTTTTCAGACCCAGTGCCATGCTCTCCTTTTCCCTGGCTTGCATGGTAAACTGTAATTCTTTCTTAGCCTCCTGATATTGCCTTCATGCATGTTGGTTTGTTACTTAAAGACTGATTTAATTTCTCTGAGTCTCATCTTTCCCATTGAAATCAGGATCATTATATGTGCATCTTCCCTTACAGCATGGTATAGTATGAAGTATGAATTTTAAATAGATCTGAGTTTGAATCACAACTGTTAGTCATCTTGGGCAAAAAAACTTCACCATCTTTAGCCTTAGTTTCTTTATGTGTAAGAAGTTAGATTGTTATGAAGATTAAGTTTAATAGCATGTAAAGTGCCTTGCACAGAGTAGGAACTCAATAAACTAAGTTTCTTCCCCCACCCGCTCCTCCTCAAAAGTTTCTGTGAGGGTAAATCAGGTGAAAAAGCTAGTGTTTTTAAGGGCTTGGGCTGTAGCTCAGTGGTAGAGCATTTGCCTAGCATGTTCAAGGCCCTGGGTTTCATCCCCAGCACCAAAAAGATTAAAAAAAATATATAGTGTTTTTGAGTGCCTTCAACAAAAAAATGGCATTTGGCTATCTTTGATCTTTTTCCTGGGTTCTTACAGAGCAAAAAGCATGCCAACAAAGTGAAGAGATACCTAGCAATCCATGGAATGGAGACATTAAAGGGGGAAACGAAGAGGCTAGACTCAGATCAGGTAATACAGCTGCCATGTTGAAATCGCTTGCTTCCTCATGAAGCCAGCAAGCAGGGTGGTGTGGTGAAACAGCGTGGGCTTTGAGTCAGATCGACTTGGCTGCAGATCGTGGCCGTGTTGTGTAACTTGAGCAGTTCTTAATACTTCTCTGAGCCTTAATTTCTTCCTCTATAAAAGTGAGGATGCTAATGTCAATTACCTATTAAGGATTTTTCATAACTAAAATGAGAAAACACTGAGCCTGGCACATATTATAAATAATATATATTTATATATATTTACTCAGTAAGTAAACCACTGTTATGCATTACTACTCAGTGGTTTGTTAGAACAGCAAAAGCAGCTTCCCAAAAGAAAGTAAAAGGAAGCCAGGCTGTCTACTTTCTTGAGAGCCATGGAAAAGAGCTTTCAGCAGCTGAATGTTTTGAATAAACAAGAACAAATGCCTCCATTGATTGGGAGATAATTGTATTTCCTTTTTGGATCAGAATTACTGTAAGAATTATGCTGAAATATCCCCCAGTCCCTCAGGAATACCATGATGAGAAGTCAGCAGACCCAGCTCTGCAACTTACTGAGTAGGGGACTTTGGGAAAGTCACTTAACCTTTCTGAACTTCACTATAAGTGGAGATTATTCCTACCTCATAAGATACTGTCAAGTAAAATTCCAGTTCACAGAAGATGCTCAATAAATAAGAATTTACTCTACAAACTGCTGATTCCTATTTTACTGGTCAGTGGTCTAGAAGGGCCTTGCTTATCCCTTCTAGAAATTTATTGAACTCATGTGCTCTCTTTCATGATTTAGAATTCAGGAAGACAATATCAACTCTGTGCTGGGCACCAGTGGCTCACTCCTATAATCCTAGCTACTCAGGAGGGAGAGATCAGGAGGATTGTGGTTCAAAGCCAGCCCAGGCAAATAGTTTGCAAGACCCTATTTCAAAAAAATACCCAACCAAAAAAGGACTGGCAAAGTGACTCAAGTGGTAGAACGCCTGCCTAGCAAGTGTGAAGCCTGAGCTCAAACCCCCGTGCCGCCAAAAAAAAAGATCAACTCTGTGACCATGGACAAGTCACTTCACCTCTTTACACTTCAGTTCCTTCAACTCTTGGGGTGGGTGAGTAGTTCAAATGAGATCACAGCACCTATCACCAACTAAGAATTATCAATCCCAGAATGTCAATAGTGCCAAGCTTGAGAAATGCTGAATGAATCCCCTATTCAGAAATCAAACTTTCTCAGAGATTGGGAGAGCTCATCACTTAAAATACACTTTGAACCCTAATCATAATCAACAGATAAAACCCAGTGGTGCTTGTTCAAAAAACCCTGGGCACCTACTGCATGCCAGATGCCAGCAGGAAACAAGGTTAGGAAACAAAACAGAAGAGTGAAACAGTTCACACCCAACATTGCACTTACATTCACAGAAGTCTCCTAAGCTGTGATACTGTTGGTTTATAGTGGCAGGAAACATAATAGAGATCTACTTAGTCCTTTCTTATAGTACAGAGAAGGAACAGGGTTGATTCTTCCTGGAATACACACACAAAGGGGCTTGATAATTGTTTATGGAATTACTTACTTGAGTCAAAGTTTCCCAGATGAACATTTGATTTTAAACTGGGCCTTGAAGGTTAAGCAGACATGCCAGGCAGGAAAGGAAGAAAGAACATTATAGACATACAGGAAGTAACAGAATAAAATGGGGAATACTAGGTAGAACCTGGCATGAAATAGCTGGAGAAGAGTCCAGAAAGGTAGGTTGGGGGTTGTCGCGTGAAGGGGGTTTTAAATGCCCATCATCCTATGGGCATTGGGGAACCATTGAAGATTTTCTGGCCGGGCAGTGGCATGATCAGACCTGTGTTCTTTCTCCCAACCAGAAGAGCAGCAGAAGCAAAGACAAGAACCAGTGCTGCCCCATCTGTAACATGACCTTTTCCTCCCCTGTTGTGGCCCAGTCGCACTACCTGGGGAAGACCCACGCAAAGAACTTAAAGCTGAAGCAGCAATCCACTAAGGTGGAAGGTACTGGTTTTCCTGAGTAGTGCTATATTGGGACCCCTCCTGTCCTCAGGGCACCACTGCCATGTGCTCCCAGAAGTGCTCACTGGAGCCACAGACTTGGAGAGGTTGAACTGCTTTTGAGATCCCTTAAAAATAGCAAAGTTGACCCTGCTTCATTAAAATGCAGCATCAGAGTTGTGCTCACTTAGCCTCCCTTTCTTTGGTTCCATCAGTAGAAGCTTTTTAGCCTAAGCTTTTGTCCTTACCAATAATTATAACTTAGGAGTGCCAGAGTTCTCTAGGCCATGCACATCATGAGAGTGTTCTGTCACCTTCCCTTGCTTTTCCCTCCCGCCATCCACCAGCTCTTAATACTATGTGTTCTAAGTTGAAAGCCAAATCCTTGTCCTTTTCACATACTCAGGTTATGCCCTGCTCACTTTAATCCTCAAAAGCTGCCTGTTCTCAAGACAGGGACTTGCTTTCAAAGCAGAGTACTTCATTGCCGCCACTACTGCCCAGCAAGCTGTTTGCAGCTGCTGTGAATTCATTCCCAGTGCAGTGACTTCTAAAATAACTTCCTTTATCTTGTCACCACTGGGGCTCAGCCCTCACTTTCATCTCATTAACTCCTGACTTGGTGGGGTTTTTAACCTCTGCTAACTGCAATTAATCAAAAGTAAGAGTTCTTTGATCTTTATTGCACTTTTTTCTTAGTAATTTTTGCTTCTCTGGTTTGGACCAAGTAGACTACACTATTTGTAGTACTTAATATCCTCTTTGTTTTACCATATTATAAAAATATGACAACAATGTTTTGAAAGGCTTTGAAGATCAGGTAGAAAATCTCATTATTTCACCCTCTTATTATACTCAAATGTAGTTATTCATGATATGAAACAATAGAAGATGAACTTTGAAGTCACAGAAGTCCAGATTTAAGTCCTGGGATTGCTGTTTATCATTTGTATGACTTGTGTCTAAGTTTTCCTCATCTGTAAAATGTCAACACTGTCTACTTCATAGGACATATTAGATTCTCACTAAATAACAGGTGTTACTACTGTTGTTGTAATATTATTATCACCATTAAGATAGTGAGTGGAATTCACTATCTTTATTTATCTAATAAAATGCAGTTGTTGATCAGGCATCCACAACCTAGAACATGCCTGTTGACCTTGCTTATGGTTGCTTATAGTTGATTGATCATTAACTTCTACTTGTACTGACTGCTTTTGTTTAAAGTCAATATTGAGGGCTGGTGGAGGGACTCAAGTGCTCAAGTGGTAGAGTGCCTGACTAGCAAGTGTGAGGCCCTGAGTTCAAGCCCCAGTGCTGCCAAAAAAAAAAAAAGTCAGGTCAGTGTTAGAGCCAGTCATTGTACTACAATGTTTAAGCATTAGGCCAAGGAAAACTAGCTTAAGAACTAAACTTTATAAAGTCATATATTTATCTTTCTCTGAAACATGCCTGATCCTAAAACTTCCATACCTGGCCTGGCAGAGTGGCTTAAGTGGTAGAGCAACTTTCCTAGCAAGCATGAGTTCAAACCCCAGTACTGTTGAAAAACAAAACAAAAACTTCCATATTAAACAAGTTATTTTCCATATTCACTTTCAGCCTTCGCCATACGCAAATATGTGTTTAAAGAGTTGTAATCAGTTGGGTGCCAGAAGCTCACACTGTAATCCTAGATACTGGGAGGCTAAGATCTGGAGGATTGCAGTTCCAGGCCAGCCCTGGCAAATAGTTCATGAGACCCCCTTCTCCAAAATAATCAGAGTAAAATGGACTGGAGATGGCTTTAGCACTTGCTTTGCAAGCTCAAAGCCCTGAGTTCAAAACCCAGTCCCACCAAAAAAAAAAAGTTGTAATCATAATACAAGCACCGTTCGTATCCTGCTTTTATTTTCATTTGATTTTTATAGTTTAAGCATAAGTCCATGTTAGTTCATAAGTTTATAATTCTGTTCCTGAAAATAAACATGTCTAATATAAAACTAATATAAGCGTGTTATAAAAAATATGGAAAATGTAGATAAATGAAAAGAAAAATTTCCATAATTTTACCATTTCAAGATATCCACTGTGAGCCGGGCACCAGTGGCTCACATTTATAATCCTAGCTACTCAAAATAAAAGATCAGGAAGATCAATGTCCGAAGCCAGCCCCAGGCAAATAGATGGCAAGACCCAATCTTGAATAAACCCATCACAAAAAAAAAGACTGGTAGAGTGGTTCAAGTGGTAGAGTACCTGCCTAGCAAGCATGAGGCCCTGAGTTCAAACCCCAGTACTGCCAAGAAAAAAAGATACCCAGTTAACATTCTGAACTACTGTTTCTCCTGTAATCTTTTGTATGTATATGTGTGTATATTTGTTTGTGTATTTGTTTTATGTATATCTAGATTAACTCCATGTATATGTGCAGATAAGCATATATGTTAAATAACTACTGTTTTTATAAAATTGATGCACACCCATTATGAATAATTTCAATTCAAGCAATGCAAAAAAGTAAAATAGCACCCAAATCCTACCACCAAGAGGAACACTGTTAATATGTTGGTAACATTCCAAAATGCCATTGTACACTGATGTAGATTGCACAGGTATCTGTTAATACTTACATGACCATATTGTACATACAATTTCCTTTTACTTTTAATACAGCATTTGTATTTCCCCATGTTATTACAAACTTTTTTGTAAACATTTTTAGTAACTACGTACATTTAACTGTTCCTCTAATGTTCAACCTTTAAGTTTTCCCCTCCCCTTTTCTTGGTGTTACAGATAACACTACAGTAGACATCCGTGATGAACACGCTCCATATTTCAGGGTATTTCTTGAGAAAACTCTGTAGATCTCATTGGTTTTAGATGTCCACTAAGCAGTTCCTGCAGCTTTACTTAACCATTTACCCCTCATGCTTCTCGTTGGTGTATTTTAAAGAATGACCTTAGCTGGGCACATACCTATAAGCCGAGCATGTGGGAGACTGAGGTAGGGGAATCTCAAATTTGAGGCCAACCTGAGCTACACATTGAGACCCTGTCTCAAAAAAAAAAAAAAAAAAGAATTACCTTTATCTCTCAGTGACCATTATATTCTCTTTCTGATGCCAAAAATCTGCATTAATTGTAGAAAATTAGAAAATACTAAAAACACTTTTTATTCTCTATACCTTTGATCTTTTTTCCATGGAATTACTTGGGTTTTTTTGTTGTTTTGTAAACTTGAGGACATAAGAAACCAATTACTTTATAGCCTGCTTTTTTTAATTCACTCAACACTAAAAACTGAATTTTTTTTCAAAAATATTCTACAACATGCTCTTTGCTAACTTGTCGAAACAATCAGTAGCCAGAGAAATGGAGATTCCTATACTGGAAAACTGTTGTGGGAAAGCCAGCAAATGTTGTCTGGCTTACCAAAACATTCTCAAAAGGTTCCCAGTTGAAGTGATAGAGGGATGAGAGAGGTTCTGAGCCATCTCATCTATCTGTGAGTGCTAGTGCACCCACCCCTCCTCTACCACTGGTAACAGTTCTTCCCCCTATGTCTATAGCAGTAGTTGCTAGGTAAACACCATTCTAGCTACGTGGACTTGTTAGTGAATCATTCATCTATCTTACAAGGCAGCAGCACAGCCTACAGTCAACATCACGACTCATATTAACCCATAGGAAGCTTATACAGATGCCCATATGAGGCTTTGATGAATTCGATCCATTGAGCAAGGTGAGGGATACTTCCTAAAAGTGAAAGGATCATGGTAGCCTTCAGGTCCAGCAGCCCAACATAGCAAAGAACATGAGCAAGGATTCTCTCACTAGCTTGGTGATACTGGGCAAGTCATTTTACCTGTCCAAGCTTTGGTTTTTCTCTGAAATGTAGCAATTTATAACATGCCCTTCATTGGGTATGAAGACCAAAAGAAAACAAAATGCATGTTCAAAATGTATAACTAATTGTTAATGTCATCTTTTTCTCTCCCTCATTCAGCCTCCAATGCAGTGTAGCCTAAAAGGTATCCCTAGTATGATTGTCTGACTCTATGAGCTCAGAACCTCAACATGTACATCAAAGCTTTGGTCCCTGCTCTATAACTAGATACTTTAAAGATGGGAATAAAATACTCAATCTTTATCCCACTTGCTTTGAATTCCAGGAAATTCTGAGGGATGAAAGGCTACAAGTATGTATGCCCAGTCTTATAAACAGGCAACTCGATGACAGAAGTCAGAGCCTCTTTAGGGTATAAGAAAATCAGGACCTGTACCTTGAGTAGTTAAAGCTTTTGGGCTTCCCCAAATCTTCCTACTTTTTCCAATTAGAGAAGGTGTTCACTGTGTGATTTATACAGGCAGTGCCACATTTGCAAGTGTGATTAACTAGTGATACTGCCTGTCTTGCTCTTCAGTATACTTGAAAGCCTGGTACCTTCTGGGTTTTTTCATTGTTTCTGTTTAAACTCTCTCACCACAGCTCTGTCGAAACGCCTTACAAATCCTTTCCTTGTGGCCTCCACCTTAGCCTTGCACCAGAATAGAGAGATGATAGACCCAGACAAGTTCTGCAGCCTCTGCCATGCCACTTTCAACGACCCCACCATGGCTCAACAACATTATGTGGGCAAGAAACACAGGAAACAGGAAACAAAGCTGAAACTCATGGCACACTACGGGCGACTGGCAGACCCCGCTATCACTGACTTATCAGGTGAGAGGGCCCAGCTCACAGCCCGAGCTGGATCAGGGTTTAACCGCTGGGGCTTCTTGGACCAAGTCTGTGTTTCTCCTTGGGGCCTTGTTTTTTGTTGGTAGTGGTACTAGGGTTTGAACTCAGGGCCTCATGCTTGCTAGGCGGGCACTCTACCAGCTCTTTTTTGTGTTGGGTATTTTTTGAGATAGGGTCTCACTTTTTGCCTGACTGGCCTCAAACCTTGATCCTCCTGATCTTGCCTTTCAGGTAGCTAGGATTACAGGTGTAAGCCACCAACATCGAGCTCATTGGGTCTTCTAGAGCAGGGTTTGCAAGCTCAGATGTCCATAAAAACCAAGCAGGAAATTTAAGTGCATGAGAGCCAGGGAGGGCTGAGGTCAACTGAAGAGTGCACACTACTCCTAGCCAAACTGTTGTTACCTTATCTTCCAGTTTTTCATATACTCTAGAAAGCCAGATTTGCATAGGAATTTGTTTTTCTGCCATGCTGGGGATAAAACCCAGGGCCTCATACACATTAGGCAAGCCACTCTACCACTGAGCTATAACCTCAACCCAAATTTCTCTAATTTTAAAATGTGTGACTAAATTTTAAAAATTTTAGGCTGGAGGTGTGGCTCAAGTGGTACAGCACCTGCCTAGCAAGCACAGGGCCCTGAGTTCAAACCCTAGTACCACCAAAAACAAACAAAACCAAAACAAAAACAATTTTAAACACTATGTACAAGCCAGATTTGAGCCAATGGCCACCAGTTTTTAACCTCTGATTTAAATTGCCTAAATGTTATCTTCATTCTTTGAGTAAGGGCCCTCAAAAGCCTCTGCCAGATTTTGAGTTCCTCATTGTACCCCTTCTCTTAGCAACTGGGGCCTGTCTGTAACCCTGGGATAGCATGGTGGAGGAGACCATCCTGCTTCCTTGGCCTCACGATGTCAGTCAGCATCACAGGAGGGAGCATTCACAAATAATTAGGGGACCTTTCCCATTGCAGTAATTGCTCACAGCCTATAGGAAGGTACTTGTATGTTTGTGTGTTATAGGACGGTTATTCCTATCTCTTTCATTCAGTCAGTAAATATATATTGATATCTACTGTGTTCCTTCATTGGGGCGCAGTTGTGACCAAAACTAAGAGTCCCTATCTCACAGAGCCTACTTGAGTATCAGTCCTCAGGGCTCCTTCAGGTGATAGGACATGCAGTAATAAAGGCAGGTGGGTGCTAGGAGAAAATCTTAAGTGGAGATAGAGTACTCTGGGAGTGGGTGTTGTGCCTGGAGGACATTGGCAGGCTATGGAGATATAGCTCCAGGCAATCAGTACTTGAGATCACCAGCCAGGTGTGGGCAACTTGGCATCAGAGAGCCTGATGTTTAGAGTTACCTGTGCTCTTCCCATAATCATAGGGATGGTGAAAAGCAGGTTTCATAAATGTTCCAATCCATATTTGGACAAGGAGAAGGATCATGCTTCTCTAACAAACCCCAGACACCAAAGGCAGTCATACAACACAGGCCATCCCTTGGCCATATTAACATGGATGAAACAGATACAAAGCAGTGACCAGGAGGCAAGGGGAAAAAGACTACCAGTCAAATCCTTTAGCAGGGTACCACAGATTATTCATCCAGTGCCATGGAAGGACCCTGGTATATAAAATATCTGCAAGATAGGTTGGAGGGCTGGTGGCTCATGCCTGTAATCTTAGCTAGTCGGGAGGCAAACATCAGAAGGGGAGGATTGCGATTCACAGCCACTCTGGGCAAATAGTTCGAGAGACCCTATCTCAAAAATACCTAACACACACATGAGAAAAAGGGCTGGCAGAGTGGCTCAAGCGGTAGAGCACCTGCCTAGCAAGCGTAAGGCCCTGAGTTCAAACCCCAATACTACAAAAAAAAAAAAAAAGATAGCGATAGATAGATATCTAGATAGTTAGATGGGGTGATGGGTGACAATGGCTCTTGCCTATAATCCTAGCTAGTTGGGAAGCTGAGATCAGGAGGATCAAAGTTTAAGGTCAACCCAAGCAAATGGCTCATGAAACTCCACCTCCAAAATAACTAGAGCAAAATGAACTGGAGGTTTGGGTCAAGCAGTAGAGCACCTGCTTTGCAATAGTGAAACCCTGAGTTTAAATCCCAGGTCCCACCAGGAAAAAAAAAACAATAGATGGGAGCTAGGGATGTGGTTCTGTCATAGAGTGCTTGTCTAGCATTCATAAGACTCTGGGTTCAATCCCCAACACCAAAAAAAAGAAAGAAAAGAAAAGGGATGGCTAGTGTTTACTTACTGTTCTTTCATATAGGCAGGGATTAACCCCATGGGCTATGAATTCTAGAAATTTGAGAGCTGCTTAAAAACCTATTCCTGATCCCCTTCTTTTTTGGCCTGCAGTTGGTAGGAATCTGGCATGCCTAGAGTTGTCTGCAGCAGACCTTTCTTCTCTCCAGTCTCCACCTCTTTTTTATTCCTCCCACCCTGGTCATTCCTTCAGCTGTTATCTACTGCCAGGACACAGGCATTGCAATATTTAGGCTCCTTTAACTTGTGTCCATTCTGCTCTTATCTCAAGTGAAAGCCTCCTTCTTGTATCTGCTTTCCTCCTCTGTTTTTCTAATACTAAATTACTCATACTTAATCCTGTAGCCTTGAATTTTTTGCTTAAGGATCTGAGTACTTTACAGATCAGCCAACATCTTTAATGAAAACTTAAGCAGCCAGATAGCAGGGTTGAGAATTTGATTTCCATCATTCCTGTAGAGAAAAAATTTGGTACCCAGTAATCTTCCTAGCTTCCCTTACCCAATATCATGCATGTTGCAGAATGACCTTGTCTGTCATGAATACTTACAGTAGACAAATAACTGTTCTTTGCCCATGCAGCTATAAGTGCCCCAGACTTGCAGTAGGGAAAAGATGGATTCTAAGATGAAATTGCACACATGTGGCTGATGTCTGCAGAGCATGAACAGAAAGCTACACATGCTGCACAGAATATTGTAGTTTGTTCCACATACTGGATCTGTGGCTTGGATCACTTACAATGATGTCCAGGTTCTCCCTCCCCAGCAAATGGTATACATAGCAGAACATACCTCCTATAATTCAGTGAATGGTTCAGAGAACACGCTGGTATACATCCACCCTGTGGAAGTCACATAGGCTCTGTTTATGAACTAGGTCATAGCTTGTGTCTAACAGGATGCTGCTGCTCAGTAGGCCTCATTACTGGTACAAAATCAGTTGTATCTTCAATCCAGAGTATGGGTGGCTCCAATCCTTTGGCAACTCTGCAGATATTTACAGATAGACTAGAGGCAAAAAAACAAAGAGAATAAGGATACTTAGGAAGAAGATAGTGAAGGTATAGATCTAAATGACAGAGCCAGACCCACTCAGCCCTTCAACTCATGCCACATTTGATGTGAAGAGTATAAGAGTATAATAAATTCTTCAATGTGCCCAAAGCATGACCTCATTGCATCCAATCTCCACCCAACTCTTCCTCACTTAAGTGAGAGTGAATAGCTCCCTGGTCCTCTACAGTAACAGGTTCATTGTTTAGGCCAGGTGTTGTAGCTCACACCCATAATCCCAGCACTGCAGAGGCTGAGGCAGAAGGATCAAAAGCTCAAGGCCCCACTAGGCTACCTAGCAAGTTCCAGGCCAGCCTGGGCTACATAGCAAGACCCTGTCTTAAAACAGAAGAAAGCTTGGGCTGGTGGAGTGTCTCAAGTGGTAGAGTGCTGCCTAGCAAGTGTGAAGCCCTGAGTTCAAACCCCAGTTCTGAAAAAAATAAAAAGCAAATTCCTCTAAGCCAGACACCAGTGGTTCACACCTGTAATCCTAGCTACTTGGGAGACTGAGATGAGGAGGATCACTGTTCAAGGCCAGCCCAGGCAAATAGTTCATGAGACCCCCATCTCCAAAATGACCAGAGCAAAATTGATTGAAAGTGTGACTTAAGTGGTAGAGAGCCTGCTTTGCAAGCACAAAGGCCTGAGTTCAAACCCCAGTCCTACAAAAAAAAAAAAAAGTTCCTCAGAAAAGTGCTCTCCAAAAGGCACATTGCCATGTACATGCCCTGTGGAGAGAACCCTTTGTCAGGGGGTCTAAGCTAAAAGATCACTATATTCATCTAAAAGTTTCTCTTGAAAAGATAGGAATTTGTATAAAGACTCATGATTTGAGTTGTCTGATGAGACTATAAAGGACATCCAGCCTAGAATCACCTGGAACAGAACTTGATAGTTGATCAGCCAGGCTACTATTATACAACAACGAAGAATGTGACATCTAAGCCTGAGTGTGTAGCTCAAGTGGCAGAGCACTTGTCTTTGATCACAAGGTCCTGGATTTGATCCCCAGCACCCAACCAGAGACTGAAGATTTGGTATGTTATATCCACATTGGGGCGTGGCTCAAAGATAGAGCAGACCTAACAAGTGAAAAGTCCTGAATTCAAATCCCAAAGCTGCCAAAAGAAAAATCAAAAGAAACTTAAAAAAAAAAAAGAATGACATTTCTGAAGAAGAAAGGAAAGTTCTTCAAAAGCAAGAGAAAATTTGGCCCTGCTGTGAATGTAACTGCTAACCTATAAGCTCAGAGCAATTGGTGAGAAACTAGGTTTGTTCAGCAGAACAAGAGACTGAGGAAAGAAATAAGATAGGCTATTTGGTCCAGGTCTCCAGGTCCCCCAAAACATACCTGAGTGGAAATAGCCAGAAAAATAGAGCAAGGGATAATTAAGGGACATAAGACTTGCTACATTTTCCCACAGAGAAGCAGTTTGATGAGGCTGGACCAGCTACTCAGAAGGGGCTGAATTAGCCAGAACATCTTACTGTCCCAATCCCCCAGCTGCCACAGGAGAGCATTCTTCTCTGAAGCATGCACAGGAAACTCACACCCCGTATCTGTAACCATAGCATGAGAGCATGGCGCCCACCCATAGTGCTTTGACAGCCAGTGATACGCACACAGCCAAATGCATCC